ACCATGCAAATCTCAAGACGGTTTTACCCCACTTCCACCAACAGGTGACCTTTCCCACAAGAGATGGTAACATTCTGGACATGATTTACACATCAGTTAAAGGTGCTTACAAAGCTTCACCCCTCCCCCACATCGGCCACTCTGACCATATCAGTGTAATGCTAATGCCAGCTTACAGACCCAGGGTTAAAGTCACCAAACCAGTTCTGAAACAGGTATGTGTGTGGCCAGAGGGGGCCTCTGCTGCACTACAAGACTGCTTTGACACCACAGACTGGGAGATGTTTAAGCAGGCAGCCACCTACAACAACCACACAGACATTGAGGAGTATTCTGACACTGTTACCTCCTACATTAGCAAATGCATTGCTGATGTCACCACCACCAGAACCATCACCACCCGGGCTAACCAGAAGCCATGGCTGACAGGAGAGGTAAGCGGGCTACTGAGGGCCAGGAACACCGCCTTCAGAGCTGGGGACGCAGCCTGCCTGAGAACAGCAAGGGCCAACCTGTCCCGTGGCATCAGGGAAGCCAAAAGCAGCTACACACTAAAAATAACCGGAGCCTGTGGCGTGGTATCCAGACCATCACGGACTACAAACTCAAGCCACAGACCTGTGACAACAACACCTCTCTGCTGAACGACCTCAACAGCTTCTTTGCCAGGTTTGAAGCACACAACAGCACGCCCCCACAGAAGACCACCCCCCCTCCCCACGACCAGACCCTGTGCCTGACTGCAGCCAGTGTGAAGAGAACCTTCTCCAAGATCAACACCCGCAAGGCTGCAGGTCCAGACAACATTCCTGGCCGTGTGCTGAAGGACTGTGCAGAGGAGCTCAAAGATGTCTTTACAGACATTTTCAATGCTTCTCTGAGTCAGGCTGTTGTTCCGTCGTGCTTCAAAGCCACCACCATCATACCCATTCCAAAGAAGCCCTCACCATCCACTTTCAATGACTATCGACCCGTTGCACTGACCCCCATCGCCATGAAGTGATTTGAAAGGTTAGTCATGGCCCACATCAAATCCACCCTCCCCGCCACCCTGGACCCCTACCAGTTTGCATACCAAGGTAACAGATCCACCGAGGATGCCATCTGTTCTGCTCTTCACCCAGCCCTCACCCACCTGGACACCAAAAACTCATACGTCAGAATGCTGTTCATAGACTTCAGTTCAGCATTCAACACCATCATCCCTCAGCAGCTGATCGGCAAACTGGACCAGCTGGGGCTCAGCACTTCCCTGTGCAACTGGCTGCTGGACTTCCTCAGCGAGAGGCCTCAGACAGTGCGGGTCGGCGGCAGCACATCAAAAACTACCGTCATGAGCACGGGGGCCCCCCCAAGGTTGTGTGCTCAGCCCCCTACTCTTCACGCTGCTGACCCACGACTGCGCTCCATCCTTCAGCAGCAACCACATTGTGAAGTTTGCGGACAACACAACAGTGGTTGGTCTCATCTCCAACAACAATATACAGCACTACCGGAAGTCAGCCAACTGGCCACGTGGTGCAGAGACAACAACCTCTTCCTGAACATCGACAAGACCAAGGAGGTTGTTGTCGACTTCCGGAGAGTCCCCACTCCTAAACCCCCACTGACCATCGACGGTGCTGCTGTGGAGAGAGTGAGCAGCACCAAGTTCCTGGGGGTTCACATCAGTGAGGCTCTCTCCTGGACAACCAACACCACATCACTGGCCAAGAAGTCCCAGCAGCGCCTCTACTTCCTCCGCAAGCTGAAGAGAGCACGAGCCCCCCCATCCATCGTGTGCTCCTTCTACAGAGGCACTATCGAGAGCATCCTGACCAGCTGCATCACTGTGTGGCTTGGGAGCTGCACTGCTGCCAACCACAAGACCCTGCAGCGCACAGTGAAGGCTGCTGAACGGATTATCGGTGTCCCACTCCCCTCTCTTCTGGACCTCTACGGTACCCGCCTCACCCGCAAAGCAACCAGCATTGTGCGCATTGTCTAAGTTCATCATAGATGATCGTAGCAGAATCTAACTTGCATGAAAGTGTTAGTCTTGATGTCATGGATACATATATCTGATTCAGGGATTGAACCGAAATTCTTTTATAACAGAAATGGATTATGTTGGTTAAGGCAGTTCGTTCAACGGGTCTAAAAGTCCGTTTGAGATAGTCCAGATCACATCAAAGGCCTCCCCTGCCGTGTTGATTAACTCGGCAGACGGCTGTCTTCCTGGGATCGTTTATTCTGAAAGTCGTTCACACGTATTCAAGTGGTCTGGTTCGCCAACTTGGATTAAAGGCTTATTGTTTTTTTTATGACGTCCTGTTCTTCACATTCCGATGTAAAGTGTCTTTCACAGTTAATCCAATGAATGGCTTTTGTTATCAGTAAACAGGAAGAGTGGGGGTTTTCATTCATGTCCTGTGAGTTTTGGGTTGATTTCAGGTCAATATGTTACAGGATTAATTCTCAAAAATAGCACAAGAAAGGAAAGCGATGGAGATTTCCAAAGTTTGTCTCATAAAATTTGTTTATTTTCCTTTGACGCACAAAATACATGTATTTGTGATTCTAGTTCCTGTGCTTAATTTTACACCTTATTCCATCTTGTTGGATATTTCCACTACATTGTTGAGTTTCAACCACAGATTGTAAATATTAATGGACGAAGCCTGTGGTCACCCATCTGTTCCTGCAGGGGGCGCCATGCTGGAAATGCTGTCTCAGCCTAACATTCAATCAACCTAATGACAGGCTGAGAGTGGGAGCTGAGGCAGAAAAATTGGGAGAGAGCGAAGGGGATTGAGCGACAGAATCAGGAATCTGTGATGTGAACATGGTAAGCCTTTTGCACCAACCGAACCAAACTGGCGCCCTGGCTCCCACTCTTGGCTATTTTCATTGTCTGTCCAAGCAGCAACCTCTGGTGTTGAAAAATAAAACCCTGCAGTTCCTCGAGTGTCCCCTAGAGGCTGGCTGCAGAAGTACAGGAAGTCACATACAAACCCAATTCAAAACAGCCTGTTTTTACAGCAGAGATTAACATGTTTACAGCCTGGTTCAAAAAACCAAATAGGTCTGATTAGATCATGCCTCGATCGGCTCACACTGTACGGGGGGTGAATGTTTTGATGACTCATCAGTTTTGATTTGATGTAGGATAAGAGTTATTCACAATAAGGCATGTAGCTTACCTGATTGACAGGCGGGCGCGGTGTAGCGGTTTGTCAGGAGGCTTAAAACCCGCCTCAGCTCCAGCTCTCAGTCTGTTGTTAGGTTGACTGAAAGTTAGGCTGAGACAGCATTTCCAGCACGGAGACCGCCATCGATGGGACTCCAACGTCCCCTGCAGGAACAGACGGGTGACTACACTCAGGCTTCGTCCATTAATATTTATGTTTTATGTTAGAGCTTGTTGCGACAAATATTCACGTTGTTAGGCATCTACCTCTGTTGGGGACTTTAGGACGTTAGATGACTAAATAAAATCGAGGTTGAAAATTGGTTAAGGACGTTGGTACACAGGACTTTAAGCTAGGAGACCGGCTTCACGTTCTCAGTTATTTTTTTTTTTAAGATTTATTTTTGGGCTTTTTGTGCCTTTAATGGATAGATAGGACAGTGGATAGAGTTGGAAATCAGGGAGAGAGAGTGGGGAATGACATGCAGGAAAGAAGCCACAGGTGGGAAGTGAACCCAGGCCGGGCCGCCCGCATAAGGCAGTTCATTTAATGTAAACTCAGGCTTCAAACGTTCCTATCTATCATACACTTCACTTGCTTTGTTTAACACATATTAGCATTTTTAGCATTATTCATTGCTACTCTGTCACGCATTATTTGTCACTGCTTGCAAGATTTCCTCACTTGTTGCTTTTTGGTTGCACTTGTATATTGAATGTGATCCTTTGACACAACTGAAGTTCATAGCAGCTAAATAAACTGTTTTGAAGTTAACGGCTAATATTAGCTTAATCAAGTGACCTCTATAGCACCTTTTACCATACGTATAATCTTTTTGTGTTTAAAGGTCGCATATTATGCAAAACACGCTTCACCATGTTTCTCTAAGTCTAATATGTGTCTCTAGTCTGTCTACAAACCCCCCAATGATGAGAAAAGTCCATCCTCTCTGTCTTTTGCCTGCTCCACTTTTCAGAAAATGTGTGCTCAAACAGGCCGTTTAAGAGATTTTCCCTTCATGACATCACAAAGGGCAGTAACCCCTCCCCCAGGTGGGTGACACTCCCACAGCTAGGTGTTAGTTCTTCCCTCTGAGTCTGCCTTCTCACCGTAAACAATAGGACATGGAGCGAGAAAGCCAGAGACACCCAAGCCCTTCCAGAGAGGGGGCGTGGTCAGACACAGTTCATTAACATTTAAAGCTACAGTCACAGAAACAGCCTGTTCTGAGCAGGGCTGAAATAGAGGGATTTATAAGCATGATCAAATACAGGATCAGAGTGGATTTAGAACAAGAAGGAGCTCTGAGACTTATTTACAATGGTTGAAGAGGAGGAGAATATGTGACCTTTAAGTCTTTGCCACATACTAAGTTAAAAGCTGTACATAAGTTCAACCAGGGTGTAAAACGTGTAAAGACTTTGGCGGTCACTTGGTGTGACCTTTAAAGAGCAAGCTAGTAGCTAGCAGGTTAAGGCGCTAATTAATGTCCTATCTCTATGTTTTTAATTTATCTATTTTAGCACCTATTCACATCTTTCCTCTCATATACCCTGCTTTGAAGTCCGTAGCCTTATTTTTATTTGTTAGCTTTCTGACATCAGTAGCCAATTATTTTCATGCATAGTTGAATAGAGAGACTTTTAATCCTCCAGGCTTTAGGTGCTTGGTCTTTAAAGTATATTTTATTTTAGCTTACAGCTACATGCTGTCCTATAAATATGCTTGAGATTTTTAAAGTATTGCATGGTTTAATTTTCAATAAGACAATTTGTTTTGTCAAAATTCCCTCACAGATCTTAACAATGACATCATCAAAAGTTGAACTCTGGTATGTGCAGAAATGTTTTATTAGGTGACATATAACATTCAGTTATCATTTGTGAAAGATTTAACAGGAGTCCATGATGCGCTTCATGCTCATGAACCTGGTGCCGCTCATGCCCATCTCCCTGAAGCTCCTGTACTCTCCGGGCCTCAGGTACATCATCTTGCCTCTGAAGTGGGGCTGCTCGTACATCAGCCAGTGGCCGTCCATCACGTTGCAGGACATGCAGTCGGACATGCGGTAACGCTCCATGATGTTGTCACAGTCGTCCATCAGCTCGTGGCTCTGACCACCGAAGTTCTCCCTCTCGTAGATCTTCATCCTGAACTGACCTCTGTGCTGTAGTTTGAAAGAGGATAAAAAAGTTAGTCACTGATTTCCCCGTTTGACGACATGTACCAGGACAGACGCTGTTTTAAACCTACCATGGGGATCATACGGCAAGACTTGATGCAGTCCCTCATTCCCATCATGCTCATATGGTCGGCGTACTCGCCCCTCCTCATGAAGTACTGGTTTCCCATGAAGTTGGGGCGGTCGTAGACCATGAAGCAGCCACTCTCCACCCTGCAGGACTGGCACCTGTTCAGGTAGGAGGTCATGTCGGAGCAGTCGCTCATACACTCATAGGAGCGACCCTGGAAGTTCTTCTCCTCGTAGAAGATGATCTGTGAAAAACAAATTGTGATGGTGAGATTCAAACCAATATGGCCGACATTTTTCTATTTCTCCAATAAATATATATTTTTTTACCTTGCCCCTCATGTTCATGCTGGTATTGCTCATGTTGGCTGCTGGTGGGTTGCTGCTGTTGCTGCTCCTGAACTGCATGCCTACCTGGTTTAACCCTTTCCTTTTATACTTACCAACATGTAAAGAACCAGTGGGCCCCCCTCAGAGAACCCCTTACCCAGCAACTATTACTATTGACCCATAGAATGCTGAGGTTACGTCCATGTTTCAGGGGACTGAGGACCTTACCGGCTTTAGAAAGGCTTTTTCTCTCATTACTGAAAGCATTCACAACAATGCTGCTAATGTGATGAACTGGTTGTGTGTTTGTTGGTCTAGCGACTGTTGGACACTCTGTTAAAAACCTGAACGGCGTTACTCTGACTTCTTTATTTATTCCAGTTTTTGGGGTAATTAATTTTCTACACATGAAGCATCAGACTTTATGGGAATGATTTATTACACAACACACATGTATTTTTTCTATGACAGCATGTTTTGTCCATGTTTCATGTTCTAGTTCTTTCTTTCCTTTCAGAGGCTTTTTTTTTAGTGGGAGGGAATATTAAAATCTAATTTCTGTTTTTCAGAGAATATGGAGTTCTGCTGCTCGGGCTGTGAAGCCTTCATATTTTGTGTTTTGGTGCTGTACATAAAAGCGATCCTTACAAACTCTTTAATAAGACTTTTCGAAATCTCCGCTTATAAAATGTCTAAAAGAGTTCAATTTGTACTTGTGATACTTCTTACATTTTAGATGGTGCTCTACTCGGCCTTGGGTCGGTCTCAGACTGGACGGACTCCGGATTTGAAATCAATCCAGTCAAAGAAAACGCCTCTTTTTAAAAGAACAAATAACTTCATTTGTAGTTTGATTTTTATCCCCCGGTTGCGGCTGCAACCTTGCTGGTTTTACAGTCTAAGTGAGTGTCACGCCCCCTAAACACAACATGATGAATTTTCAGTGATATTTATGGTCTTGGCCTTATCTCGGTCTCGCCCTGCTTTGGTCTTGGTCTTGGTCTTGACTCGGTCTAGATCCCTAAAAGTCTTGGTCTTGTCTCTGTATTGGAGCACTCTGGTCTTGGGTAAGTCTTTTTCTTGGTTAGTGTGGTCTTGACTACAACACTACCTTTGACTGAGACATTATTTTATCTGTATGAGAATAGATGGTGGGAGAAACAATGATTATGAACGGTTATTTGGTAATATGTGGTGTTTGACACATCGGGAAAACAAGTTTTCTGTGTTGTAAAATGCTCATGAGTGCCTGCTCAAACCAGAACAACAACTCAGAAACTCGGGAAAGAATTAGGTGCTCTGTTTATTGATTCACATAATGCACATCAACTTTTTGCAAAAACATAACTCGAAACAGAGACAACTTCTTCATAGCAGCCACGCTGTTCCTCGCAATGTATTGAAGTCCAGTGTTTCCCCTAGGTTTACAGCTTTGGGGGGGAGGTGGTGCAGACAGACGGACGGCGACACAAACACTCCAAGGAATCTTGGTGTTCATGAGTTACTTTTAATGACAGCTGTCCTGTTCTATCAGAAAGGTATCCTTAAATTACTTCTTTCCCTGATTTCCGACTCTATCCACTATCCAAGCTGAAGACAACAGAATGGGAGAAGAGAGCACATGGGAATATATGGCCGTTAAATGATTGTGTACAAGAAATCCTCCTTAAAGTGTAATAATATTCTGAAACAAAGTAGTGCAGAACAGAGGGGCTGAGATGTCACTGAAGGAAGGTGTAGAAGGAGGAGATGAACCAGAGTGAGGGAGGAGTAGAAGGAGGAGTCCAGATGAGTGGGTCACCATGATTAGGATTTCTTTGACCTGACTGGCGTGCTCCATAAAAGTGTAAACCAATTGGATTTGAATATGTTGGTGGACTGACGGTGATGCCAGAGAAGAGGTCAGGACACGGTCATGCAAAACAAAAGCACTTGGCTTCACACACTGGACAATAAAGTGTTGTCCAGGTGCAAATGGGAACTGACAAAGGCACTCTGGTAAAAGGTCAAGGGGTTGTCTAGAATAATTAACTGATCGTTTGAGGGTCAAGAATATTGCTGCATTACTTAGATTGCTAACTTTAACTGTAAGTAGTTGCATTTATCTTGCTGAGGACTTAATCAGGACTATCCATCCTGAAACAGTAAGATCCTTGATAGTGTTAGTCAGTGTATTGAATGATATGGGCCTTAAAGGAGCAGTACATAACTCTGACACCTAGTTTTTAAATTGGGTACTGCAGTCCAAATTCTAAACATTGTAAAGAGCTGTCTCTCCCCGCCCCCTCCTCTCTAGAGTCGATGCTCACTCAGGTTGCCATGTGGTGGACACTGAAGCTTCAGTGTTTAGCCAGCTCTGCATCGGTCTGTAAACCTTTCTGCCTTCTAACCTCTCTCCATTTTTCAAAAGCATCTCCAATATTGATCCTAGTTTGAGCACGTTTCTGCTCGTGGAGCTCATTAGAAACATGCAGAGGCTTTTTAGGTCGGGTACAATCACTTCTATCTGAACCAGTTCTCTTGTCCGCTTCCATCGCTGCCACACATGTTGGTTTGACCTGATAACTGGTCTCATATCTGGCAAACTCAGGGGGGACCAAAATGGCTGTGTGGGGGTGCCTTAAAACCGTCTACCTTCTCTGGTCCAAACAAATCCAGAACATTCAGGACCAGAATCTAAAGTTTGAAGGAGGACATACTGGCCGGTGCATTGTTGTCAGAGAAGCCAGCACTTCAACACAGCATGTTTCCTTAATGTCTGATCATATAGTAAGGTCACTTTATCATTTCACTCACAACACATCTTACTGATTGGACCTTTAATTGGATATATTGTTAAGTACAAATGACTTTGACAAAGACTCACTTGAGATTAAACGCGTAGACACATCCCTGTGTAATAAAGGATTTTTACACAACATCAGATTTCCTCAGACTACCAGTTTAGACCGCCTTTCCACACTACGCACTTTATTATCAGGACAGTCAAATATTTATTAGGTATTTGACCTCTGACCCCTGTTCCTGAACAACACCTGATTCCTCTACATTTGTTTGACCCAGTGCAGCACTCGCTTCTACCTTTTTTATTTCATCCATGAATATTGTTGTTTACCTTATGTGGATGTGACTCAAGAAGGAGAAATAACCATATGGGACCAATATATGACCATCAGGGTTCTTTAGAGCATAGGTTCTCAACTGATCTCGCCCCACAGCCCACCAACAACTTGTAATGAGAAAGTACTATCCAAATTTCTGATATTTTTCATGTTTGGACCTCGAATGGTACAAAACATGCGTCAGAACAAAGAGATGGAATAAATCAAACATGTTTCAAAGCGCTTCATAATCTTCTTAGCCCCGTTTCCACCAAGCGGTCCGGTTTCATTAAGTACAGTTTGGTTCAGTGAACCCTGATCTTGCTTGAGTTTCCCAAATCAACGGTACCCTTATTTGGTAAGCGGAGTGTTAGCCCGATGGAGATAGCTGTCAGCTATGTAATAGTGTGACATCAAAGCAGCCTAACACAGTGTAGCCAGCTATTTATTAAGTTCAACGAAGAAGAAGAATGGGACACAGTAAACAAAAGGGACCCTTTAGGGTTGGATCGGTACCCTTGGCAACCCAACAGAAGGGTATTTTAGTACCATTCCCAACTTTTGATGGTGGAAACACCAATAAATGGGTACTGTTCCAAACTGAACTGAACCGCGACCCAATTTTAGGTCCCGACCCACCAGTTGAGAACCACTGCTTTAGAGTAGAGTGGATTACTGACATGCTTTGGCAGAGATCTGCAGTATCTAAGCGCCCTTTTACTTACATGTTTAGATGTTTCTTGTGCTTCGGTAACCACCAAATATACCTTCTCTCTTTATTCGTACTGTTTGCTTTATCACGTTGTGATGTCTTGTATATTTTTTGGACTTATTTGCTTTGTGGAGATGGTGATGGGATCCACAGTCCCTGGAAAGCCCTTGCAGCCCCATATGATAAAGGAATGGAAGCCCAAACATGCAATGACTGATATTAACAGGCCAGACAAAGAGGTTAATTTTGTCAAAAAACTTTTATTTTGGTTTATTTAGACAGATCCTACACAGCTGTTTTACATGTCAGTGATACGCCTCATGCTCATGAACCTGGTGCCGCTCATGCCCATATCCCTGAAGCTCCTGTACTCTCCGGGCCTCAGGTACATCATCTTGCCTCTGAAGTGGGGCTGCTCGTACATCAGCCAGTGGCCGTCCATCACGTTGCAGGACTGGCACTCAGACATGCGGTGACGCTCCTGGATGTTGTCACAGTCGTCCATCAGCTCGTGGCTCTGACCACCGAAGTTCTCCCTCTCGTAGATCTTCATCCTGAACTGACCTCTGTGCTGTAGTTTGGGAGAGGATAAAAATTGAATGTGTTAAATCAAGTTTTTTGGGTTGTTATCACCTGTAAATCCACCATGACATCAACAACGCTCTTACACCTACCATGGGGATCATACGGCAAGACCTGATGCAGTCCCTCATTCCCATCATGCTCATATGGTCGGCATACTCGCCCCTCCTCATGAAGTACTGGTTTCCCATGAAGTTGGGGCGCTCATAGACCATGAAGCAGCCGCTCTCCACCCTGCAGGACTGGCACCTGTTCAGGTAGGAGGTCATGTCGGAGCAGTCGCTCATACACTCATAGGAGCGACCCTGGAAGTTCTTCTCCTCGTAGAAAATGATCTGCAATGGGACAAAATACAAATAGTCTGAATTTGAGCCAAAAACTCATGATTAAGTAATTGACTATGACAAAATAAATGGTGAGGTAGGTGTGCTTACCTTTCCCATGGTCATGGTTGCTGTGTTAGTTCTTCAGAGAACTGCGTTGCTGTGAACTGATGCTGGTCCTGTTAGTAACCGTTACTTTTATACCTGACCGAACCCAAAGAATCTGTGGCTGCCATTGTCCAAAGCCCTGACTCAGCAACATGGTATAGAGGCCTATAGAGTGCTGAGGGGCATTTGTCACGTTTCCATGTGACTGGATCCCCTAGAAGACTTTAGAATGGAT